TTTCTTTTTTTTTTTTTGCTTCGACTCCTTTTATCTTTCAAATTTGGCGCCTCTTTTGCTCTTTTCACTCCCCCTACACCGAAAACCTGGATGCGCTTCTGCTTCATCTAAACTTTTAAATCTGAAAAAAAATCAGTAGAAGGAAGATTCATTTTAGTTACTTTGCATACATTGAAAGTGAATTGATCAAGTTTCAGACGCGCATTGACCTTTGAACTTTTGTTGCCGCAGTACAAAACCCCAAGCCACTGGAGTGTGAGCTTCAGGGGAGCTGACAAAGGCGTCCTTCCCCCGTTGAACCAACCGGGAGCAGGGAAAATGAACCATGCCCAGTTGTACGAGAGGAACCAACCGAAAATTACACTGACGGTGAGAGCAGCACAAACCTCAGACGCCGGCATATATTGCTGTGATGTATGGTACAATTATGTCACCGGGGATACAAGGTATTATGGTGCTCAACGTGATGGCCAAAATAAAAAATGTCAGAACCTTAAAGGTAAGATGTTTCATTTTCTTTCATTTGCTTTAAGTTTAAAGAAATAAATAGTGTTACTTTTTTAGGCTAGGGCTAGATGTAGATTCCACTAGATATTTATACGTTTATCTTTGTGAGCCACCCTTTAAATCTAGGTATTCTTTAAGTTCAATAATTGTTCATTCAAATTTATTCGTGCGCGCTGTAATTAAAATACATGCATTTAATTTCTTTAAAAAATTGCAAGCTGAAGTTTTTTTTTAATCCTTTGAAGGCGACATTTACAAAAAACCAACTTTTAATACAATAGTAATGATGGAAACCATTTCCTTAAACTTGTTTGTGTCTTTTATTCTAAATTATAAATAGTTTCAGCTTACGCGGATATACTCGCATAATGTGGAGGGGAGGGTGGCGCTATTATATATTGTAACATTTACTCAATATCCCTCTTGAAGCTTACAAATTCTAATATATCTTAAACCAACAAACGTTAAGAACCGAACAAAAGTTAAATAATGTGTACACTGGAAAGGATTTGTAAACGTTTATTTAGCCTCATCTATCGCCCAAAAAATTCCCCATTATTTCCCTAAACCTGTAGGACTACTTATTACATAACGTGTTTGATTATTATAATAATGTTGCTCAATTTTCTTTTCAGTTTCATTAAACTTTACAGATTTTAAAAGTATTTCAATGAATCTAAAGGTTATTTTTAGTAATGAAAAAATTGATGTTTGAAAGTATATACCCTCGTGTAAATTAATTGCATTCAATCATTTAATCCGTTTCAGTCGGCCATAATACGAAACTCTCAAGAAATGGATGTTCTAGTGTGGACATTTCAGCTGGTCTTTTTGTTAGTCTACTGACATTACTTGTGTAAATTGGATGTATTAGTTGGTCTGCTTATGTTGTGAGTTGGATTTTTTAGTTGGTCTACTGACATTACTTGTGTAAGTTGGATGTGTTAGTTGGTCCATTGACATTACTTGTGTAAGTTGGATGTGTTAGTTGGTCTACTTATGTTGTAAGTTGGATGTGTTAGTTGGTCTACTTATGTTGTAAGTTGGATGTGTTAGTTTCTCTATTGACATTACTTGTGTAAGTTGGATGTATTAGTTGTTCTATTGACATTACTTGTGTAAGTTGGATGTGTTAGTTGGTCGACTGATGTTGTGAGTTGGATTTTTTAGTTGGTCTTTTGACTTTACTTGTGTAAGTTGGATGTATTAGTTGGTCTGCTTATGTTGTGAGTTGGATTTTTTAGTTGGTCTATTGACATTACTTGTGTAAGTTGGATGTGTTAGTTGGTCTACTGACATTACTTGTGTAAGTTGGATGTGTTAGTTGGTCTACTGACATTACTTGTGTAAGTTGGGTGTATTTATTTGATCTACTGACAATGCTTATGTGAGTTTACATTGTGTGTGTGTTTGATGCTGTACTGAACCCAGAATGGAGTTCAGTTGAGTTTAGTAGACTTTCATATTTTAAAGTTGGCTGGGTTTTTTTTTTGGGGGGGGGGGGCTGTACGCTGTGATATTTTCTGATACAAGGGATAATGGGAAATTAGATCACTTACTTAAAACTTCGAGTATTTTTTTAATGTGAAGTCGGCGTGGTCGAGTCGGTAAAGCTCATGGTTGCTAAACCGAAAACACCTCGAGTTCGAACCCTCGGGCAGATGAGGCTCGTTAACTGGTGATATCCACTCTTCTAGGAGATAAAACTCCAAAATCAAACAACTGCTGCCTTGTAGCTTGTTCTTGGTTGGACAAAGGCTATGGAAGCAAATCCAAAAAAAGCTCAGCCGTAACAATTGATTAAAATAAAGACTTTGAAAGAAGTTGTACTATTTGACTCGGGGTAAACAAAGACTGAAAGAAGATGTACTATTTGACTCGGGGTAAACAAAGACTGAAAGACGATGTACTCAGGGGCGTAGCGAGGGGGGGGGGCGGGGGGGTGCGGACCGCACCGGGTGACACCATTTAGGGGGGTGACACCAAGGCAAAAAATAGCAAAATATATAGAGAAAAACTCGAGGGGGGGGGGTGCAAATCGAAAGTTTGAGGGGGGGGGGGGGGGGGTGCAAATCGAAAACTCGAGGGGGGGGTGCAAATCGAAAGTTTGAGGGGGGGGGGTGCAAATCGAAAATTTGAAAGTTTGTCCCTGGGAAGGGTCTCTATGCCTCTGGGGGGGTGACACCATTAAGTGCCGCACCGGGTGACACCCGACCTCGCTACGCCACTGGATGTACTATTTGACTCGGGGTAAACAAAGACTGAAAGAAGATGTACTATTTGACTCGGGGTAAACAAAGACTGAAAGAAGATGTACTATTTGACTCGGGGTAAATTCCTGTTATGACTGTGCTCACAAACAAACATGTTTGCTCTTTTATCATTTGTAATTTACGATGAAAACGATTTTAAAATTCCACCAATCATTATTCTACCTTAGTCCACACCTTGATCTAGCTATGCCTGAATGGAGTGTGTAGTTACTGGAAGGACTGGCATACCAAGAAGAACTATTGGCGGTGTTTATGAAAAAAATGTCCATTAAAATAATAAAATTAAGCTTGTTTTTATATTCGTAGTCTTCATTTGTTCTGTTAGAGTCGGTTGTGTGTACATTTGGCTGAGGGGGTAGGGGGAATGGGGGTGGGGAGGGACGTAATGGGGTGGGGAGGGGGAATGGGGGTGGTGTTGAGGGTTTAGGAGCTAAGGGTTGAAGTGTGAAGCCTATACCAATGGATGTAAGTCATACGTTAGCAAACCGCTGATTCAACAATGATTTAGTTTTTTTGTGGACAATTGTAATCGTCGCCTGTTGTGAATGGACTTTGGTGTTTTGAATGGGTATGTGAGTATGTGTGTAGTGGAATGTGGATTAATAAAAGATATTGAGGGTATGAGAGTATGTGTGTAGTGGAATGTGGATTAATAAAAGATATTGAGGGTATGAGAGTATGTGTGTAGTGGAATGTGGATTAATAAAAGATGTTGAGAGTATGTGTGTAGTGGAATGTGGATTAATAAAAGATGTTGAGGGTATGTTTGTAGTGGAATGTGGATTAATAAAAGATATTGAGGGTATGAGAGTATGTGTGTAGTGGAATGTGGATTAATAAAAGATATTGAGGGTATGAGAGTATGTGTGTAGTGGAATGTGGATTAATAAAAGATGTTGAGAGTATGTGTGTAGTGGAATGTGGATTAATAAAAGATGTTGAGAGTATGTGTGTAGTGGAATGTGGATTAATAAAAGATGTTGAGAGTATGAGAGTACCGTTTTCTGATTTACATTTGTAATAGGTCTGGTAAGTAGGTCACCAACCAATTCTATGGCTCATGCAGGTTTTATTGAGTCGTAGAACTGGTTGGTGACCTACTTACTAGCCCTATTGGCGAGGTTTATTAAAACGAAACGTATTTATTAATGAAGTGGGGTGATTTTGTCAGCTCCATAGTACGTTTAAAACACGATATGAATACCTACACCAGCAATACACGGTTAGCAGACAGCCTAATGGTGACAAAACACAAAACTTTTCTCACCGCTGCTCTATGTTATGGTCAGTACGCTCATAGCCTAGAAAAATGTTAGTCATTTTCTATCGGCCAGCTGAAGCGAAATGAGGGTGGTACGGCTAATCTGCCGGTACGAATGTCCTGGTACGGCTAATCTGCCGGTACGAATGTCCTGGTACGGCTAATCTGCCGGTACGAATGTCCTGGTACGGCTAATCTGCCGGTACGAATGTCGTGGTACGGCTAATCTGCCGGTACGAATGTCCTGGTACGGCTAATCTGCCGGTACGAATGTCCTGGTACGGCTAATCTGCCGGTACGAATGTCCTGGTACGGCTAATCTGCCGGTACGAATGTCCCACCCCTACCTTATATGTATGCTGGAGATAGAGGGGTTGTTCAATTAAGGTTGTGCCTAATTAACATCTAATCAAGCAGCGATAGAGAAGACAGTCAATGATTCATTTCAGTTGACGATTTTCACGCTACATTCGGATTTACATTCGACACAAATCACCTTGATAGATCATGTGGACATATTGCACATGTGGAACAGACATAAACATCTGATGACCCAAGTGTCAAATGTACGAGAGGCTAGAGTTAGGTACACGAGTCAACACTTCAAATAAATATTCAAATATCTGATACGTTAGAGGTACACAAGGCAACACTTTAAATAAATATTCAAATATCTGATACGTTAGAGGTACACAAGGCAACACTTTAAATAAATATTCAAATATCTGATACGTTAGGGGTACACAAGGCAACACTTTAAATAAATATTCAAATATCTGATACGTTAGGGGTACACAAGGCAACACTTTAAATAAATATTCAAATATCTGATACGTTAGAGGTACACAAGTCAGAACTTCAAGTGCCCGATGAAGATTTCTAACAAAGGTGCGCAAATGTGCGTATTCTGCACCTGTTTGAACTTTAACTCGACTTTCGATAAACATAAAGAGGAAGTCACCCCTGATCCATATACAGATGTATTGAGGAAGTTAAACCAGATACAGATGTATTGAGGAAGTTAAACCAGATGTATTGAGGAAGTTAAAACAGATACAGATGTATTGAGGAAGTTAAACCAGATACAGATGTATTGAGGAAGTTAAACCAGATACAGATGTATTGAGGAAGTTAAACCAGATACAGATGTATTGATGAAGTTAAACCAGATACAGATGTATTGAGGAAGTTAAACCAGATACAGATGTATTGAGGAAGTTAAACCAGATACAGATGTATTGAGGACGTTAAACCAGATACAGATGTATTGAGGCAGATAACCCAGATACAGATGTAGTGAGGCAGATAAAGTGAGATGGAGTTGCTCATCCCCACCTTAACCTTGCTGGCCCACCTGCCCGTAGCAGCAGCGTGTGAGTAGCGAACGTTCATTAGACAAATATGAAAACTTTTAAGATAACACGCTTTTAACTCCACCCCCCCACCCCCCCCCCCCCCCCCAAAATGTAGTTCAAGTACCTAGATCTATATTGATCTAGATCTAATTTTCTTAAGTGAACAACTGGTCCGATAACATTTTTTTTCTTTTTACCTACACGCGAAAAATATACACTTTTGTTATATTCCGATTGAAAATTATAAAACAATTTGTAAATAGCATGTAGCCTATGTAGCCTATGTAGCCTATGTAGCCTATGTAGCCTATGTAGCCTATGTAGCCTATGTAGCCTATGTAGCCTATTTGCCTGCTGAGTATGGTTGATTTCGTTGTAAAATACCGCCGAAAGTGTTCAATAATCTGAGTAGCATACAACATAAGCTGAAATATTCGTTTACAAAAATTTGTCAGAACATTTCGGCAACGCAGGTTAGTCTACAGCGTCAGGAAAATGAATCGTTATATTTTTTAAATGCTGTCAACATTATCTCATTATCTAACAATATCTCACATATTTCACATTATCTCATAATCTCACATAATCTCACATTATCTCACATTATCTCACATTATCTCACATTATCTCACATTATCTCACAATATCTCACATTATCTCACATTATCTCACATTATCTCACATTATCTCACATTATCTCACATAATCTCACATAATCTCACATAATCTCACATTATCTCACATTATCTCACATTATCTCACATTATCTCACATTATCTCACACTATCTCACACTATCTCACATTATCTCACACTATCTCACATTATCTCACATTATCTCACATTATCTCACATTATCTCACATTATCTCACATTATCTCACATTATCTCACATTATCTCACATTATCTCACATTATCTCACATTATCTCACATTATCTCACATTATCTCACATTATCTCACATTATCTCACACTATCTCACATTATTTCACATTATCTCACATTATTTCACATTATCTCACATTATCTCACATTATCTCACATTATCTCACATTATCTCACATTATCTAACATTATCTCACATTATCTCACATTATCTCACATTATCTCACATTATCTCACATTATCTCACATTATCTCACATTATCTCACATTATCTCACATTATCTCACATTATCTCACATTATCTCACATTATCTCACATTATCTCACATTTTCTCACATTATCTCACATTATCTCACATTATCTCACATTATCTCACATTATCTCACAATATATCACATTATCTCACATTATCTCACATTATCTCACATTATCTCACATTATCTCACATTATCTCACACTATCTCACACTATCTCACATTATCTCACATTATCTCACATTATCTCACATTATCTCACATTATCTCACATTATCTCACATTATCTCACATTATCTCACATTATCTCACATTATCTCACATTATCTCACATTATCTCACACTATCTCACACTATCTCACATTATCTCACATTATCTCACATTATTTCACATTATCTCACATTATTTCACATTATCTCACATTATCTCACATTATCTCACATTATCTCACATTATCTCACATTATCTCACATTATCTCACATTATCTCACATTATCTCACATTATCTCACATTATCTCACATTATCTCACATTATCTCACATTATCTCACATTATCTCACATTATCTCACATTATCTCACATTATCTCACATTATCTCACATTATCTCACATTATCTCACATTATCTCACATTATCTCACATTATCTCACCAGCTGAGACAGAGTCGTGTCTAGCGACCCAGCTGTCAACAACTTCCCCGGCGGACTGAACAATCTAACAACAAATTTTAATTACTTTCCCGATTTTAGTTTAAAAATAAAGTCTAAGACCGTTCCCAAATTCTCAGACAATCTAACAACAAATTTTAATTACTTTCCCGATTTTAGTTTAAAAATAAAGTCTAAGACCGTTCCCAAATTCTCAGACAATGCAACAAAAAAATGTCACCAATTTCCAGATAAGACAGACATTCCGAGAGAAAATACCAGAGCCATCGTCCGACCCTCCACTGTGGCGGAAGAGGAAAACTACAACGTTTACTGTGACCCTGACATTGCCGGGGTCCCGAAAATCACGAGGGTTCAGGGCGTTTCCAATTTGTCTGTGGACTGGACGGACGGGCACCGCCCACCTGAGACGTATGCCAGCTACAGTGTCTGGAAACCCCATGTCTTTATTGTAAGTCGTGTGGGCAGTAGGGGTAGTTGGTAGTGTTGATATCTTTCTACTCAATGTGTCACATAGTTGATAGTGTTGATATCTTTCTACTCAATGTGTCACATAGTTGATAGTGTTGATATCTTTCTACTCAATGTGTCACATAGTTGATAGTGTTGATATCTTTCTACTCAATGTGTCACATAGTTGATAGTGTTGATATCTTTCTACTCAATGTGTCACATAGTTGATAGTGTTGATATCTTTCTACTCAATGTGTCACATAGTTGATAGTGTTGATATCTTTCTACTCAATGTGTCACATAGTTGGTAGTGTTGATATCTTTCTACTCAATGTGTCACATAGTTGATAGTGTTGATATCTTTCTACTCAATGTGTCACATAGTTGGTAGTGTTGATATCTTTCTACTCAATGTGTCACATAGTTGATAGTGTTGATATCTTTCTACTCAATGTGTCACATAGTTGATAGTGTTGATATCTTTCTACTCAATGTGTCACATAGTTGGTAGTGTTGATATCTTTCTACTCAATGTGTCACATAGTTGATAGTGTTGATATCTTTCTACTCAATGTGTCACATAGTTGGTAGTGTTGATATCTTTCTACTCAATGTGTCACATAGTTGATAGTGTTGATATCTTTCTACTCAATGTGTCACATAGTTGATAGTGTTGATATCTTTCTACTCAATGTGTCACATAGTTGGTAGTGTTGATATCTTTCTACTCAATGTGTCACATAGTTGATAGTGTTGATATCTTTCTACTCAATGTGTCACATAGTTGATAGTGTTGATATCTTTCTACTCAATGTGTCACATAGTTGGTAGTGTTGATATCTTTCTACTCAATGTGTCACATAGTTGATAGTGTTGATATCTTTCTACTCAATGTGTCACATAGTTGGTAGTGTTGATATCTTTCTACTCAATGTGTCACATAGTTGGTAGTGTTGATATCTTTCTACTCAATGTGTCACATAGTTGATAGTGTTGATATCTTTCTACTCAATGTGTGACATAGTTGGTAGTGTTGATATCTTTCTACTCAATGTGTCACATAGTTGGTAGTGTTGATATCTTTCTACTCAATGTGTCACATAGTTGATAGTGTTGATATCTTTCTACTCAATGTGTCACATAGTTGGTAGTGTTGATATCTTTCTAATCAATGTGTCACATAGTTGATAGTGTTGATATCTTTCTACTCAATGTGTCAACCGTTGATACTGTTGATATCGTTCTACTCGATGTGTTGATAATGTTCATACAGTATTTCTACGAGTATTTTGAGACTAGTTATTTGTTTGAAATCCAGCTAACCATTGATATTTCTAAGTTTTAACACAAGCTTTTATTTGCAATTCTACAATTGTATCTTTCGTTAAATTGTGTTAATTTTAATTCAACAACTGTATCTTTCGTTAAATTGTGTTAATGTTAATTCTACAACTGTATCTTTCGTTAAATTGTGTTGACTTCAATTCTACAACTGTATCTTCCGTTAAATTGTGTTAATTTTAATTCTACAACTGTATCTTTCGTTTAATTGTGTTAATTTTAATTCTACAACTGTATCTTTCGTTAAATTGTGTTAATTTTAATTCAACAACTGTATCTTTCGTTAAATTGTGTTAATGTTAATTCTACAACTGTATCTTTCGTTAAATTGTGTTGACTTCAATTCTACAATTGTACACTTCGCCATAAAGCAAATGTTTAAAACAACCTAAACAATATTTACCACAAGTTTTCTTTTTCAGTCAATTTTTCCACAACTTTTCAATTTACCATTGTTACCCCTCAATGTTTACTACCTTCTTTTTACCTTCTTAATTTACCCCCCCCCCCCCATGTGTCCAGCGCCCCACCCGCCCTGTGCCAGCGGATTGGTTGAGACGCTGGGTGTTTGACGTGAGGGCGGGGGAGGCCTTGAATGGGCGTGGTCTGATGGACAGAAGCGCCGTGAGCATCAAGATGTCTGCCACACGCGCACGCCTCACAGAGTCTGGTACTTTCTGCTGCAACGCTTCATATCACAACTTTAACGGGGAGGTGCAGTCTGTGGCCAGGTGTGAGGCCATGAAGGGTAGGTCTTTAGCCAGGTGTGAGTAGGTCTATAGCATGGTGTGGGTAGGTCTATAGCCAGGTGTGGGTAGGTCTATAGGTCTTTAGCCAGGTGAGGGTAGGTCTTTAGACAGGTGTGGGTAGGTCTTTAGCCAGGTGTGGGTAGGTCTTTAGCCAGGTGTGGGTAGGTCTTTAGTCAGGTGAGGGTAGGTCTTTAGCCAGGTGAGGGTAGGTCTATAGCCAGGTGTGGGTAGGTCTTTAGGTCTTTAGCCAGGTGAGGGTAGGTCTTTAGCCAGGTGTGGGTAGGTCTTTAGGTCTTTAGCCAGGTGTGGGTAGGTCTATAGGTCTTTAGCCAGGTGTGGGTAGGTCTTTAGCCAGGTGTGGGTAGGTCTTTAGCCAGGTGTGGGTAGGTCTTTAGCCAGGTGTGGGTAGGTCTTTAGGTCTTTAGCCAGGTGTGGGTAGGTCTATAGGTCTTTAGCCATGTGTGGGTAGGTCTTTAGCCAGGTGTGGGTAGGTCTTTAGCCAGATGTGGGTAGGTCTTTAGCCAGGTGTGGGTAGGTCTTTAGCCAGGTGTGGGTAGGTCTTTAGCCAGATGTGGGTAGGTCTTTAGCCAGGTGTGGGTAGGTCTTTAGCCAGGTGTGGGTAGGTCTATAGCCAGGTGTGGGTAGGTCTTTAGCCAGGTGTGGGTAGGTCTTTAGCCAGGTGTGGGTAGGTCTTTAGCCAGGTGTGGGTAGGTATTTAGCCAGGTGTGGGTAGGTCTTTAGCCAGGTCTGGGTAGGTCTTTAGCCAGGTGTGGGTAGGTCTTTAGCCAGGTGTGGGTAGGTATTTAGCCAGGTGTGGGTAGGTCTTTAGCCAGGTGTGGGTAGGTCTTTAGCCAGGTGTGGGTAGGTCTTTAGACAGGTGTGGGTAGGTCTTTAGCCAGGTGTGGGTAGGTCTTTAGCCAGGTGTGGGTAGGTCTTTAGCCAGGTGTGGGTAGGTCTTTAGCCAGGTGTGGGTAGGTCTTTAGACAGGTATGGGTAGGTCTTTAGCCAGGTGTGGGTAGGTCTTTAGCCAGGTGTGGGTAGGTCTTTAGCCAGGTGTGGGTAGGTCTTTAGCCAGGTGTGGGTAGGTCTTTAGCCAGGTGTGGGTAGGTCTTTAGCCAGGTGTGGGTAGGTCTTTAGCCAGGTGTGGGTAGGTCTTTAGCCAGGTGTGGGTAGGTCTATAGGTCTATAGCCAGGTGTGGGTAGGTCTATAACCAGGTGTGGGTAGGTCTTTAGCCAGGTGTGGGTAGGTCTTTAGCCAGGTGTGGGTAGGTCTTTAGCCAGGTGTGGGTAGGTCTATAGCCAGGTGTGGGTAGGTCTATAGCCAGGTGTGGGTAGGTCTATAGGTCTTTAGCCAGGTGTGGGTAGGTCTTTAGCCAGGTGAGGGTAGGTCTATAACCAGGTGCGGGTAGGTTTATAGCCAGGTATGGGTAGGTCTATAGCCAGGTATGGGTAGGTCTTTAGCCAGGTATGGGTAGGTCTATAGCCAGGTGTGGGTAGGTCTATAGCCAGGTATGGGTAGGTCTTTAGCCAGGTATGGGTAGGTCTATAGCCAGGTGTGGGTAGGTCTATAGCCAGGTATGGGTAGGTCTTTAGCCAGGTATGGGTAGGTCTATAGCCAGGTGTGGGTAGGTCTATAGGTCTTCAGCCAAGTGTGGGTAGGTCTATAGCCAGGTGAGGGTAGGTCTATAGCCAGGTATGGGTAGGTCTTTAGCCAGGTATGGGTAGGTCTATAGCCAGGTGTGGGTAGGTCTATAGCCAGGTATGGGTAGGTCTTTAGCCAGGTATGGGTAGGTCTATAGCCAGGTGTGGGTAGGCCTATAGGTCTTTAGCCAGGTGTGGGCAGGTCTATAGCCAGGTGTGGGTAGGTCTATAGCCAGGTGAGGGTAGGTCTATAGCCAGGTATGGGTAGGTCTTTAGCCAGGTATGGGTAGGTCTATAGCCAGGTGTGGGTAGGTCTTTAGCCAGGTGTGGGTAGGCCTATAGGTCTTTAGCCAGGTGTGGGCAGGTCTATAGCCAGGTGTGGGTAGGTCTATAGGTCTATAGCCAGGTGTGGGTAGGTCTATAGGTCTTTAGCCAGGTGTGGGTAGGTCTTTAGCCAGGTGTGGGTAGGTCTTTAGCCAGGTGTGGGTAGGTCTTTAGCCAGGTGTGGGTAGGTCTATAGGTCTATAGCCTGGTATGGGTAAGTCTATAACCAGATGTGGGTAGGTCTTTAGCCAGGTGTGGGTAGGTCTTTAGCCAGGTGTGGGTAGGTCTTTAGCCAGGTGTGGGTAGGTCTATAGCCAGGTGTGGGTAGGTCTTTAGCCAGGTGTGGGTAGGTCTTTAGCCAGGTCTGGGTAGGTCTTTAGCCAGGTGTGGGTAGGTCTTTAGCCAGGTGTGGGTAGGTCTTTAGCCAGGTGTGGGTAGGTCTTTAGCCAGGTGTGGGTAGGTCTTTAGCCAGGTGTGGGTAGGTCTTTAGACAGGTATGGGTAGATCTTTAGCCAGGTGTGGGTAGGTCTTTAGCCAGGTGTGGGTAGGTCTTTAGCCAGGTGTGGGTAGGTCTTTAGCCAGGTGTGGGTAGGTCTTTAGCCAGGTGTGGGTAGGTCTTTAGCCAGGTGTGGGTAGGTCTTTAGCCAGGTGTGGGTAGGTCTATAGGTCTTTAGCCAGGTGTGGGTAGGTCTTTAGCCAGGTGAGGGTAGGTCTATAACCAGGTGCGGGTAGGTCTATAGCCAGGTATGGGTAGGTCTATAGCCAGGTCTGGGTAGGTCTATAGCTAGGTGTGGGTAGGTCTATAGCCATGTGTGAGTAGGTCTATAGCCAGGTATGGGTAGGTCTATAACCAGGTGTGGGTAGGTCTTTAGCCAGGTGTGGGTAGGTCTATAGGTCTTCAGCCAAGTGTGGGTAGGTCTATAGCCAGGTGAGGGTAGGTCTATAGCCAGGTATGGGTAGGTCTTTAGCCAGGTATGGGTAGGTCTATAGCCAGGTGTGGGTAGGTCTTTAGCCAGGTGTGGGTAGGTCTATAGGTCTTTAGCCAGGTGTGGGTAGGCCTATAGGTCTTTAGCCAGGTGTGGGTAGGTCTATAGCCAGGTGTGGGTAGGTCTATAGGTCTATAGCCAGGTGTGCGTAGGTCTATAGGTCTTTAGCCAGGTGTGGGTAGGTCTATAGGTCTTTAGCCAGGTGTGGGTAGGTCTATAGCCAGGTATGGGTAGGTCTATAGCCAGGTGTGGGTAGGTCTTTAGCCAGGTGTGGGTAGGTCTTTAGACAGGTGTGGGTAGGTCTTTAGCCAGGTGTGGGTAGGTCTTTAGCCAGGTGTGGGTAGGTCTTTAGCCAGGTGTGGGTAGGTCTTTAGCCAGGTGTGGGTAGGTCTTTAGACAGGTATGGGTAGGTCTTTAGCCAGGTGTGGGTAGGTCTTTAGCCAGGTGTGGGTAGGTCTTTAGCCAGGTGTGGGTAGGTCTTTAGCCAGGTGTGGGTAGGTCTTTAGCCAGGTGTGGGTAGGTCTTTAGCCAGGTGTGGGTAGGTCTTTAGCCAGGTGTGGGTAGGTCTTTAGCCAGGTGTGGGTAGGTCTATAGGTCTATAGCCAGGTGTGGGTAGGTCTATAACCAGGTGTGGGTAGGTCTTTAGCCAGGTGTGGGTAGGTCTTTAGCCAGGTGTGGGTAGGTCTTTAGCCAGGTGTGGGTAGGTCTATAGCCAGGTGTGGGTAGGTCTATAGCCAGGTGTGGGTAGGTCTATAGGTCTTTAGCCAGGTGTGGGTAGGTCTTTAGCCAGGTGAGGGTAGGTCTATAACCAGGTGCGGTTAGGTTTATAGCCAGGTATGGGTAGGTCTATAGCCAGGTCTGGGTAGGTCTATAGCTAGGTGTGGGTAGGTCTATAGCCATGTGTGAGTAGGTCTATAGCCAGGTGTGGGAAGGTCTATAGGTCGTTAGCCAGGTGTGGGTAGGTCTATAGCCAGGTGTGGGTAGGTCTATAACCAGGTGTGGGTAGGTCTTTAGCCAGGTGTGGGTAGGTCTATAACCAGGTGTGGGTAGGTTTATAGCCAGGTGTGGGTAGGTCTTTAGCCAGGTGTGGGTAGGTCTATAGCCAGGTGTGGGTAGGTCTATAGGTCTTTAGCCAGGTGTGGGTAGGTCTTTAGGTCTTTAGCCAGGTGTGTGTAGGTTTATAGCCAGGTGTGGGTAGGTCTATAGCCAGGTGTGGGTAGGTCTTTAGCCAGGTGTGGGTAGGTCTTTAGCCAGGTGTGGGTAGGTCTATAGCCAGGTGTGGGTTGGTCTTTAGCCAGGTGTGGGTAGGTCTATAGGTCTATAGCCAGGTGAGGGTAGGTCTTTAGCCAGGTGTGGGTAGGTCTATAGGTCTTTAGCCAGGTGTGGGTATGTCTATAACCAGGTGCGGGTAGGTCTATAGCCAGGTATGGGTAGGTCTATAGCCAGGTCTGGGTAGGTCTATAGCTAGGTGTGGGTAGGTCTATAGCCATGTGTGAGTAGGTCTATATCCAGGTGAGGGTAGGTCTATAACCAGGTATGGGTAGGTCTTTAGCCAGGTATGGGTAGGTCTATAGCCAGGTGTGGGTAGGTCTTTAGCCAGGTGTGGGTAGGTCTATAGGTCTTTAGCCAGGTGTAGGTAGGCCTATAGGTCTTTAGCCAGTTGTGGGTAGGTCTATAGCCAGGTGTGGGTAAGTCTATAGGTCTATAGCCAGGTGTGGGTAGGTCTATAGGTCTTTAGCCAGGTGTGGGTAGGTCTATAGCCAGGTGTGGGTAGGTCTATAGCCAGGTGTGGGTAGGTCTATAGCCAGGTGTGGGTAAGTCTATAGCCAGGTGTGGGTAGGTCTATAGCCAGGTGTGGGTAGGTCTATAGGTCTTTAGCCAGGTGTGGGTAGGTCTATAGCCAGGTGTGGGTAGGTCTATAGCCAGGTGTGGGTAGGTCTATAGCCAGGTGTGGGTAGGTCTTTAGCCAGGTGTGGGTAGGTCTATAGCCAGGTGTGGGTAGGTCTATAGGTCTTTAGCCAGGTGTGGGTAGGTCTATAGCCAGGTGTGGGTAGGTCTTTAGCCAGGTGTAGGTAGGTCTGTAGGTCTATAGCCAGGTGTGGGTAGGTCTTTAGCCAGGTGTGGGTAGGTCTTTAGCCAGGTGTGGGTAGGTCTATAGCCAGGTGAGGGTAGGTCTATAGCCAGGTATGGGTAGGTCTTTAGCCAGGTATGGGTAGGTCTATAGCCAGGTGTGGGTAGGTCTTTAGGTCTATAGCCAGGTGAGGGCCATGTAGGTCATCTCTATTGCCGAGTATCTATTGCAATGTTCACAATTTTGAATATTTTGGCAGAGGTTGAATTTTGTCTTAAAGCAACAGATCTTTAGAGAACTACAGCTTATAGTGCCTTTACAAGAATTCCACTTACAAGAATTCCACATGCTTCATTAGAAAGCAAATTAGGACATTAGTGATGCTAACCTCTAGTATGCTAATGGAAATAACCCATAGCATCCATCAAAATGATTTCAACCAGTTTCTCTTAATCGTAAGCAAACTAACCCTTCCCGTTCCCCTAACCCCGCCCCTTTGTACGAAATGTAAAAAGATATATACTTTCTGTACAATAAGTTGGAACATTTGGCACCGACCAACGCTAGGTTCGTTTTGATGACGTAGTTTTAAGCTCTGAACTCTTTCAGTAACCCAAACATGTTAGTTGACCTTTGAACTCTGACAGTGACCCACCACGACATCGTGAGTAGGAAACGTGTCAAGGTCAACGGTCCCTTCACCTTGACCTGTGACGCGAACCATGTCGGCGTCCCTCGCTTGACTTCCGGTCTGTACAGGCTAGTGATCAGCTTCAGCGAGGGAGGGGAGAGGAGGGTCCTGGCTAGGCTCGGCATCGGCTCGTTTCAACTCAAGGTCGCGGTAGGTCAGGGCGTGGTTGTCAAGGTCGTGGTATGTCTGGTGTCTGTCAAGGTCACGGTAGGCCAGGGTGTCTGTAAAGATCGTGTTACGTCACATAAATTGTTAAAGCATATTAACATTTGTATGTTAACACATCCCATACAACACTATATATACAACCCACCATATATCCACTACAACTTTCTATAGATCGCACAAACCATCATTGTAAGATAACTTTATGTAGAGCCCACCAGAGACATGGCCGCCTAGAAACTGGACCTTCACCTTCCACGGGGCAGAGAAACTGGACGACTCTGGCCGATTGAACCGTGACGCGGCTGTGGTCGAACTGTCGATCAATGACGCCCTGCTCGCAGACTCCGGCTGCTACTGCTGTCAGGCGACCTACTTCCTACACAGCACGGACGTCGAGCACGATCTCACGCGGTGTGCCAACGTCACAGGTACCTCCTTTCTGACGCTTATGTGACAGTTTGTCGGGCATTGGCCGGCCAGTTCGCGCATTGGCTGATTCGCTTGGCCAATGTCCGAAGATGTTAGCATTGACTGCAGATTTCGTTCTTTGGCTACGTCAGTTACCCTCCCCTTGTTGATAATAATATGGTGCTGAGGATAGAGAGAATGGGTGGGGGCAGAGGCGTAGCGATCCTTCCCGGCGCCCGGGGACAAACTTTCGATTTGCACACACCCCCCCCTCGAACTTTTCATTTGCACCCCCCCCCCCTCAAACTTTCAATTTGGCGCCCCCCTAATGTCGGCGCCCGGGGACATATGCCCCCCCCCCCTTCGCTACGCCTCTGGGTGGGGATGTATCTGTGTGAATGAGGGGTAGACAGACCAAACACAAATAGCCCACTCGTAAGGTCACTTGACCAAACCATCTCAGTGACGGAGAGCAGCATCATTGAGCCGAAGGTGGTTTCTGTGGGGCGACCTTTCAACGTGACCTGTGACCCCGACCTTGCGGGGGTGGAAGAGGTCATCTACGGCGTGCAGCTGATGATGATCACGTGGGCGCCACCAGCAGAACAGCCGGTCGACATGGCTCACATGATAAGTGACACCAAGCCAAGAATTTTTTTTGTAAGTATCGTATCGAACGTTGTAAGTATCGTATCGAACGTTGTAAGTATCGTATCGAGTGTTATAAGTATCGAATGTTGTAAGTATCGTATCGTACGTTTTAAGTATAGTATCGAGTGCTGCTTATATTGTTTTGAGTGTTGTAAGTATCGTATCGAATGTCGTAAGTAACGAATGTTGTAAGTATCGTATCGTACGTTATAAGTATCCTATCGAATGTTCTAAGTATCGTATCAAATGTTGTAAGTATCGTATCGAATGTTTTAAATATCGTATTGAGTGTTGTAAGTCACGAATGTTGTAAGTATCCAATGTTGTCAAGTTTATGTTGTCGCGTTTTGCTGTTGTCATGTTTTGATGATGACCTTGAAAAGAATTTAAAAAGTATGACCTGTGGGCTGATTATATTCAGTGTGGGAATATGTGGGTGGGTGTGTGTGTGTAGACGGGTGGGTGTATGTGGTGTGGGTGTGTGTACGTGTGTGAACAGAAAATGTTGATGTATCTAGAACCATACCCTGAGCCACTGGCAGTTCAAGTTTCGAGGGGACCAAACGATCAACGCGGCTGACACGTTCGACAGGAACATGCCCCAGGTCAGCCTGACCGTGCAGACGGCCATGACGTCAGACTCGGGCAGATTTTGCTGCCACGCGAGATACTACGCTACGGTATTCAAAAAAGTTGAGCATTGTCAGGATTTGTACGGTATGTTGTACCTTTGTCAGGATTTGTACGGTATGTTGTACCTTTGTCAGGATTTGTACGGTATGTTGTACCTTTGTCAGGATTTGTACGGTATGTTGTACCTTTGTCAGGATTTGTACGGTATGTTGTACCTTTGTCAGGATTTGTACGGTATGTTGTACCTTTGTCAGGATTTGTACGGTATGTTCTACCTTTGTCAGGATTTGTACGGTATGTTGTACCTTTGTCAGGATTTGTACGGTATGTTGTACCTTTGTCAGGATTTGTACTTTATGATGTACGGTATCAGAGGAATGGTGTTTGTTTGTGTGGTTGGTGTGGTTGGTGTGGTTGTGTGGTTGATATGGTTGGTGTGGTTGTGTGGTTGGTGTGGTTGTGTGGGTGCTGTGGTTGGTGTGGTTGTGTGGTTGATATGGTTGGTGTGGTTGTGTGGTTGGTGTGGTTGTGTGGTTGGTGTGGTGGGTGTGGTTGGTGTGGTGGGTGTGGTTGTGTGGTGGGTGTGGTTGTGTGGTTGGTGTGGTGGTGTGGTTGGTGTGGTGGGTGTGGTTGGTGTGGTGGGTGTGGTTGGTGTGGTGGGTGTGGTTGTGTGGTTGGTGTGGTGGTGTGATTGGTGTGGTAGTGTGGTTGGTGTGGTGGGTGTGGTTGGTGTGGTGGGTGTGGTTGGTGTGGTGGGTGTGGTTGTGTGGTTGGTGTGGTGGTGTGGTTGGTATGGTTGGTGTGGTTGGTGTGGTTGTTTGGTGGGTGTGGTGGTGTGGTTGTGTGGTTGGTATGGTTGGTGTGGTTGGTGTGGTTGTTTGGTAGGTGTGGTTGGTGTGGTTGTTTGGTTGCGTATTTGGTGTGGTTGTGTGGTTGGTGTGGTTGTTTGGTGGGTGTGGTTGTGTGGTTTGTGTGGTTGGTGTGGTTAATATCAGACAGACATCAATCTGATGGGAACAGTAATCAAATATCAAGAATCAAATAATCTTTTTCAAAGTAGTGCCATGATGTGTGCTACATCCTCATTGGCTGATTCAGCTACAATTGACAAGTTTTTTTTTAGCCTAATGAAATCGAACTTGGATTATCGGCTAAAACATGGAAAATTTAATCAAACATGGAACAACAAATCAAACAGGGAACATCAAATCAAACATGGAACATCAAATCAAACATGGAACATCAACACAAACAAACACGTCTTCCTCATCCCTAAACGAAACAGGTTAACTTTAATCTGATACACATTGTGAAAAGTGTATGTGTACCAGTGTTCTGACTTGTAGCTACATTATAGAGTACGGTAGAAAATTATCTCAATCTTTAGTTCAAGAAGAAACAAGTTTTTCGCCAATGTCACTATTGTTTTCTTTCAGTTTTCGATATTAATTCTGGGGGTAAGTTAATAGTTTTTTTTTACGTTCTTCCCAATTGTCGTTCTTTATTTTACACTTAAATAAATTATCTTTTTTACTTTCTCGTATATACGAGGTATAGAGAAAGTATTGTAATCGTGCAAAAAATAATCTCACTGATACGGAAAAACATAATTTTGCAATCTTGCCCTTATGTCTGTGTGTCTGTAAACACGATAACTTGAGTACCGTTACAGCTAGATTGATGAAATTTCATATACAAGTATTTTATCAAAATCGTAGATCCGTATCAACTTTTGAGCGATAACCGGAAGTGGTACTTCTTTTACTTTGAATTTTTCAAAAGCCTATAACTTGAGTAATATTTCAGATAAATGAGATTTCACACGTAAGTAACAGATCTAATTCATTATCTTCTGTCAAATTTTGAGTAATTTCCGTTGACCGGAAGTACTAATTTACGCTATTTCCGATTTCTCAAAAAACTAATGTAAATTTATAAAGTACTAGAATACCCGTCATCCCTTGGATAACTGTGGGTTTCGGGGGTCATCCATCAAAAAACATCACGTCTGTCACTCAGAGGCATAGCGAGCCTTCCCGGCGCCCGGGGACAAACTTTTCGATTTTAACCCCCCCCCCCCCCCAAGATTTCGATTTTCAACCCCCCCCCTCAAACTTTTGATGTGCACCCCCTCCCCCCCCCCCCCCCACTCAAACTTTCGATTTGAACCCCCCTCAACCTTTCAATTTATTATTCCAAACCATTTTGGCGCCCCAACATACGTCCCCCCGCCCCCCCCCTTCACCCCCCCCCGCCTCCCCTTTACCCCCCCCCCCGCCTCCCCTTCCCCCCCCCCCCCGCCTCCCCTTCCCCCCCCCCCTCCTCGCTACGCTACTGCAGTGTCACTTATCGTCACAAAAACAGAGCCCACATTCAAAAATATGTTTCTTATCTTTTAAAAACACCGAAAACACCGATTTCGGACTATCCCTTCATATACTGACGTCACATGTGACCTACTCAACTCTACTTCACCTGCCCAGTGTCCCGCCAAGTCTCAGACAACATGTTTTTATCGTTTAAAAAACGATTCCAGCCGAGCATGTCTCTGACCACACTATCCTTTCATATGGTTAGGACAAAGAAACAGATGAACTCTACTTCACCTGCCCTGTATCCTGCCAAGTTCAGATAGGCAACTTTATCATTAACATCTAAAAAAAAAAAATTGAAAAAAAAAATCATTTTTTATCATTAACATCTAAAAAAAAAAAATTGAAAAAAAATATCATTGACATATTGGTCTAGAACCTGTACCACTCGCATGAGAGCGGACTACGCTACAAACTTAGCTATTTACTCGTGACGTCACAAATGAATTTTTATACTATACTTTGATGCAACTTGATTTCGAGCGTCTAGTCTAGAAGTAGTAACTTTCAAATTAAATTTTATCTTAAATTTGCCAAACAAAGATTTATATAAAATAATTAAGGCCTGAAATAGATTCTAGATGTATTAAGGCCTGAAATAGATTCTAGATGTAGAATTTACATTAAGTCTAGATTTAGAATTTACATTGAGTTTAGTGATCTAGATCTAGGCTAGATTCATAAATTTCCTTCGACAGCTGATCTTTAGATCTAGAGAAATTTATTGTAAAACTAAATGAAAAAAGACAGTTGAAAATTGATATAAGTGTTGGAACGTAATAAATACAGCAAACGGACGTATTGTTAAAGTTATGACCGACAGAAAATTAGATTTAGAACGCGTTAAACTTTGGAATGGGAACACAATTTTCTTCGATAGACGCCGCCATTTTATTGTACTAAAGAGTCAACAAAAAACTCTGACGTCACTATCAAGGGACGTCACTATCCCCACAAAGTTTATTCAAAGTATTAACATTTTTTAAAAAATACGGTTAATTTAACAATGAATAAATCAATAAATTAATTAACGTCTTTAAATAAATGTGTGATTAACAGATTGTCTGCATTAAAAAATTATTCTCTACCTACATACTATTTTACAGCTCTCCAGATAGAGCCGAACATATCAGGATACTTGATCAGGCAAACAAACAAACAAACAAAAAAACAAAAAAATAAATATTCAAACATGTAAACAAACTTGACTTTTAGTAGTATATAGACTAATAATATTCCGCACTATTTTGCACATTTTATTTGGCGTTCACTGGTGTGCAATTATTTTTTCTACGAGATTTTATTCCATTTTAAAAAGTTTTAATATTTAAAATGAATTAAAAATCATAACTATATCCCGAGTTCCCATCACCTGTTATTTTATACAAGAATATTCGAGAAAGTTTAGGGGAGATCACTCCCGGTTTATTAATTTTTCATTCAATAATTTTCATTCATTATTTTATATATTGTACATTTTCGTGGATTACTTTAAGTCTCTGCACAATGTGACTTCGACCTATTAACGTAGCCGATAGATCTTAAAAACAAGATCACGGGGAAATATATTTTTATAGAATACGCGGTGCTTATACTACAGAGGGTCTTGACCACAGGTGCTTATACTACAGAGGGTCTTGACCACAGATGCTTATACTACAGAGGGTCTTGACCACAGGTGCTTATACAACAGAGGGTCTTGGCCACAGGTGCTTATACAACAGAGGGTCTTGACCACAGGTGCTTATACTACAGAGGGTCTTGGCCACAGGTGCTTATACAACAGAGGGTCTTGACCACAGGTGCTTATACAACAGAGGGTCTTGACCACAGGTGCTTATACAACAGAGGGTCTTGACCACAGGTGTTTTGTCTATACACGTTCAGGATTTACAAAGAATTAACTGCTGTTTTTTTTTTTTTTGTTTTTTTATGAGCGGCATGGTGTGATAGGATGTTTGACCTATCATATATAAATACAACTCAATGTATATGTTTATCACATATACATACAACTCCATTTTTATGTGCGATGTATTTTCAAGCATCTTAAATATTTAATTGTAATACTTTTACCTTGATGGGCCTACATGTTCTATTATTCTTAACTCAAACTTGTCATTAAAATTGTATGAATCGCCGCATGAATTTCAACTAAATAACACAATATTATTATTGAAAAAACTAGACACGGACAAAGACTAGATTGTAAAACTAATCTCCCCTTAAACGCTGCCCTATGTTTTCAGTGACTAACCTCCCCTGTATGATGCCCTATGTTTTCAGTGACTAACCTCCCCTGTATGATGCCCTATGTTTTCAGTGACTAATCTCCCCTTAAACGCTGCCCTATGTTTTCAGTGACTAACCTCCCCTGTATGATGCCCTATGTTTTCAGTGACTAACCTCCCCTGTATGATGCCCTATGTTTTCAGTGACTAATCTCCCCTGTATGATGCCCTATGTTTTCAGTAACTAACCTCCCCTGTATGATGCCCTATGTTTTCAGTGACTAATCTCCCCTGTATGATGCCCTATGTTTTCAGTAACTAACCTCCCCTGTATGATGCCCTATGTTTTCAGTGACTAACCTCCCCTGTATGATGCCCTATGTTTTCAGTGACTAATCTCCCCTGTATGATGCCCTATGTTTTCAGTGACTAACCTCCCCTGTATGATGCCCTATGTTTTCAGTGACTAACCTCCCCTGTATGATGCCCTATGTTTTCAGTAACTAACCTCCCCTGTATGATGCCCTATGTTTTCAGTGACTAACCTCCCCTGTATGATGCCCTATGTTTTCAGTGACTAATCTCCCCTGTATGATGCCCTATGTTTTCAGTAACTAACCTCCCCTGTATGATGCCCTATGTTTTCAGTGACTAACCTCCCCTGTATGATGCCCTATGTTTTCAGTGACTAACCTCCCCTTAACTGCTGCCCTATGTTTTCAGTGACTAACCTCCCCTGTATGATGCCCTATGTTTTCAGTGACTAACCTCCCCTGTATGATGCCCTATGTTTTCAGTGACTAACCTCCCCTTAACTGCTGCCCTATGTTTTCAGTGACTAACCTCCCCTGTATGATGCTCTATGTTTTCAGTGACTAACCTCCCCTTAACTGCTGCCCTATGTTTTCAGTGACTAACCTCCCCTGTATGATGCCCTATGTTTTCAGTGACTAACCTCCCCTTAACTGCTGCCCTATGTTTTCAGTGACTAACCTCCCCTGTATGATGCTCTATGTTTTCAGTGACTAACCTCCCCTTAACTGCTGCCCTATGTTTTCAGTGACTAACCTCCCCTTAACTGCTGCCCTATGTTTTCAGTGACTAACCTCCCCTGTATGATGCCCTATGTTTTCAGTGACTAACCTCCCCTGTATGATGCCCTATGTTTTCAGTGACTAACCTCCCCTTAACTGCTGCCCTATGTTTTCAGTGACTAACCTCCCCTGTATGATGCTCTATGTTTTCAGTGACTAACCTCCCCTTAACTGCTGCCCTATGTTTTCAGTGACTAACCTCCCCTGTATGATGCCCTATGTTTTCAGTGACTAACCTCCCCTGTATGATGCCCTATGTTTTCAGTGACTAACCTCCCCTGTATGATGCCCTATGTTTTCAGTGACTAACCTCCCCTTAACTGCTGCCCTATGTTTTCAGTGACTAACCTCCCCTGTATGATGCTCTATGTTTTCAGTGACTAACCTCCCCCAATCAGTTAGTGGAGGTCCCATTGTTCGTATGACCTCAGCTCTACTGATTGGATTACTGGCCCTGAGTCTGTGGCAGATTTACTGGCCCTTAACTAGCTCAGGTACTGTACATTTAGTTCAGGTACTATATATATATATATATATATATATATATATATATATATATATATATATATATATATATATATATATATATACAAACAATAATATAATATAATAATATAATATAATAATATAATAAATAACGAAAAGTTTATAATACAAATTACGATACACAATACTTAACACACTCGTCCACGTCTTCTCTCAACCACACACACCAACCAACTGCAACACACCTTAGCACACGCTCTGTTACCCGTCAACTGACACACCTCACGTGAACACCTCTTGTTCTATGTAAACACACTCAACATAGGCTACAACTATATACAAAAAAAAAAGGTACCTGTTGTTCGAGCACACAACACATACACTCACACACACACACACACACTCACAAAATCAGGGGAGGCTACATGTAAGGGACGTAAGACATTTCATTAGTTGAGGTGCTGGTAACGTGTTGAAATAAATATATTCTCCATGTAGTTGTGTTTCATTAGTTGAGGTGCTGGTAACGTGTTGAAATAAATATATTCTCCAGGTGGTTGTGTTTCATTAGTTGAGGTGCTGGTAACGTGTTGAAATAAATATATTCTCCATGTAGTTGTGTTTCATTAGTTGAGGTGCTGGTAACGTGTTGAAATAAATATATTCTCCAGGTGGTTGTGTTTCATTAGTTGAGGTGCTGGTAACGTGTTGAAATAAATATATTCTCCAGGTGGTTGTGTTTCATTAGTTGAGGTGCTGGTAACGTGTTGAAATAAATATATTCTCCAGGTGGTTGTGTTTCATTAGTTGAGGTGCTGGTAACGTGTTGAAATAAATATATTCTCCAGGTGGTTGTGTGGTATCTCCCCGAGGTCATCACGTGGTTACAATCACTAAATCACGTGGCCACTGATGCGTGTCAGCCATTGGACAACTGGCAAACACAACAAGCCAGGAAACAACACACTCTTAAAATAGAATAAACATCGCTTTAAATGACAACAAATTGATGCATCACTTGCTGTCTGTTGTCTGTTGATTGCAATGTTCTATGTGGTCTTTGATGTGGTGACTACCACTAGTGACCCACTGGTCATCCTTGACCTCACATTAAGCAAATGGTCGTCCTTGAACTTACAGCCTATCTCTCGGATACTATTGAAGCCAGAATTTTCCCCAAATATTTATATCACATTTAATTGAATATAATGTAAGCTTTTCAACTTAAATCATAGATAAAAAAACAGAGCAGATATTTCAGCTAATTCATTGATCTTTATTGCGTCATACACCAACATACATTATAGCCATTCATATTTTAAAGTAGGACAAAATTTTAAAAATATATTTATAATTTTAACCAGTTCATAACAAAGAGTTATAAAATTTTTATACAACTGTAACACTAGACTTTACAACAGGGTTTAATTAGTTCACTAATTAATTTCTCAATTAGAGTTAAACACTAGATATCTTAAACACTAAATACAGTGTATCCTCTTTACGAAATATACATAGAACATGGAAATAATAAAGGAAAAAACAGATTCAAATCGCATGAAATAAACAATGCAGAAGATATTTTAGTAACCAAATTATAAATGTATGTTACTTTTAAGATTTATATGATTTGGTGGCTAACTTTAACATAACCACATAATATAACAATTTGGTCATATTAGAAATGGTACTGACAAATAAGATTGTAAAAAAAAATACTGAACAACGTACTGAACACCGTACTAAACACCATACTAAACACCCTTCTAAACAACATACTAAACAACATACTAAACAACATACTAAACAACATACTAAACAACATACTAAACAACATACTAAACAACATACTAAACAACATACTAAACAACATACGATACAGTCATGGGTCACGTGACGGGTTCGGGTTTAGGGCTTGGCTGGGGTTCGTGATCTTGTGGAGGGCTGGGGGATTTCGTCACGTGATCTGGTTTTGGGCTTGGCTGACGTACGTGGTCACGTGGGGGACTGCAGTGCCACCAAACTGTGCAGGGGGAGAGAATGATTGTCAAAAGGGGTCATCCCATCATCCATCCCTAAATGATGACATACGAGTAAGAGTGGGGGGTTCGTAATTTTCAGGATGGGGTTATATAAACTTTATCATAATTTTTAGTAAGTATTGTTAGAAACTAAATTTTAGCACGTACTTCACGTTTTCTGAAAACAGTTTAGGTACATTCTTGTAATATAATTTATAAAGTGATGAATATATTCTAGGCTGGCAGAGTTAAGTCAATATTTTCTGTGACGATGTGTGACGGAGTGGAAGAGAGGGGGGGGGGGGGCATCGCCCAAAATAAATTGACTTCCGTTTAAGGATGACCCCACAGATGACCCCACAGATGACCCCACAGATGACCCCAAAGATGACCCCACAGTTGACCCCAAAGATGACCCCAAAGATGACCCCAAAGATGACCCCACAGATGACCCCAAAGATGACCCCACAGAGCCTATCGTCGCATTATGACAGGTTTCCAAATTTTTATTTTGTGAGGGTTCAAAAATGTTCACAGCTTTAACCCCGCCCATATCTGGCTACTGGTACACCTTTAACCCCGCCCATCTCTGGCAACTGGTACACCTTTAACCCCGCCCATCTCTGGCAACTGGTACACCTTTAACCCCGCCCATCTCTGGCTACTGGTACAGCATAACCCCGCCCATCTCTGGCAACTGGTACACCTTTAACCCCGCCCATCTCTGGCAACTGGTACACCTTAACCCCGTCCATCTCTGGCTACTGGTACACCTTAACCCCGCCCATCTTTGGCTACATGCGCGCTTACTGTTTCCTTAAGTATCCAGTAAAAGAACGTACCTAGCAGTATAACCACCAAGAAAAACAAAACGGCGTAGACCACACCCAAAATTGGGACCGGCGAGGCAGTAACGATCTGTTCACCTATAACTGGAAATCAAACACGGATCTGTCAGTCATGTGTTTCAGTCAGATATACATAAGTCAATTATTCTATTTCAGTCAGATATACATAAGTCAATTATTCTATTTCAGTCAGATATACATAAGTCAATTATTCTTGACCGACGGTGTGAAGACTGAAATGAGAACAAATTGAGTAGATATTGTCAAGTTATTCTATAACGACTAAAGAAATATTGTGTGAACAGCACAACGGGCAGACATTACCGGGTAGGGCGTGCAGCTCATCGTCTTCATCTTCGTATTCGTAGTCTGTTTCTGAAGTTCCTTTAAAATCGATAATTAGATCGAAACAATTCGTATTAAGTAATTGCTTGCGAAAGCACAAACAAGTTTTACATAAACATTTTTTTATGTGTCACCTGTAGTCTATAGTGCTCATATATATATATATATATATATATATATATATATATATATATATATATATATATATATATATATATATACTTATATATATATATATATATATATATATATATATATATATATATATATAAAGAGAGATATATATATACATGTTGATATACTTGTAGTTGTCGATATAGTCGTGCAGTAGCACTCAGCTACAAGCGTATCCAATATTTTGCTTTTATTTATCGAGTTCCTCGAGTTCTACCTGTGGCAGTGGCATATGTAAAAAAAAAATCTTCTCAGTTCATTTAACTTACCAACCATTATATGAAGCTAGAAAATCATGTGATATATATAATTGGAACCTACAGCTAAACTTACCAAATGGATTACCATGTGATTCCGGCAATACGCTGGGGTCAGAAGTATTGCTTTCTGTAGATAGGTGAATATAAATGACACAAACATTTTTAAGATTTTTAAAAATATATAAATCTATATAAAAGCTATAAAGTTCACATATATATATATATATATATATATATATATATATATATATATATATATATATATATATATATATATATATATATATATATATATATATATATATATATATATACAAACAATAATATAATAATAAAATAAATAACGAAAAAATTAAAATACAAATTACGATACACAATACTTAACACACTCATCCACGTCTTCTCTCAACCATACACACCAACCAACTGCCACACACCCTAGCACACGCATGTGCGTGTATGTATGAGCATCTCTGTCGTTTACCAATGGGATCAATGACCTCCTGTCAACAACGCCACGCGTAATTAATCAACAATGCATGCGGTGTTGTTATCGTTCTATTTTAAAATTGCTTGTTAAAAAATTTAGCACATGCCCTTCCCTACTTTAAACGCAAAATGAATCTTTGCAATTTCCTCATCAAAAATCTAACAGGCAGGTTCAACACCTGTTCAACGT